CTCGTTTTGGAGACTTGGCGCTTCACTTTTGGAGGAAGTCTCGTACGTAACGCTCGTTTTGGAGACTTGGCGCCTCACTGGCTCGTGCGTAACGCTCGTTTTGGAGACTTGGCGCTTCACTTTTGGAGGAAGTCTCGTACGTGACGCTCGTTTTGGAGACTTGGCGCTTCACTTAAGACTCAGGAGTGGCCAGTTTGTGGTGCAAATGTAGTACGGGAAAGAGCTTTTCGGAGCTGGACTCAGAAGTGGCCAGTTTGTAGTACAAATGTCGTGCGGGAAGGAGCTTTTCGGAGGTGGAGTCAGAAGTGGCCAGTTGGTAGTGCAAATGTAGTATGGGAAAGAGCTTTTTGGAGCTGGACTCACAGCTGGCCAGTTTGTAGTACAAATGTCGTACGGGAAAGAGCTTTTTGGAGCTGGACTCAGAAGTGGCCAGTTTGTAGTACAAATGTAGTGCGGGAAAGAGCCTTTCGGAGCTGGACTCAGAAGTGGCCAGTTTGTACTACAAATCTAGTGCAGGAAACAGCGTTGCGTCGCAGTACCATGTGGATTTGCGCGGCCTTGGTGGAAAGTGTCGCCGTGCCACTGGGGAGCGCGAAACATGCTGGCGTAAACGCGGCGTGTTGCTGGTGAGCGGGATGATTTGCGGTATCGTGTGATAGGATTGCTTCTAGTGTGTGGGCAGACCGTGCGGCGAATTACGTCCGTGATGTCGCAGTGCCATGCGGATTTGCGCGGCCTTGGTGGAAAGTGCGTTTGTGTGGCGCTGTGCCAGTGGGGAGCGCGAAACATGCTGGCGTAAACGCGGCGTGTCGCTGGTGAGCCGGATGATTGGCGGTATTGTGTGATAGGATTGCTTCTAATGTGTGGGGAGACCGTGTGGCGAAATTACGTCCGTGATGTCGCGGTGCCATGCGGATTTGCGCGGCCTTGGTGGGAAGTACGATTGCGGATCTGCGTATTCTCACTCATTTCACTTGGAAGATCTTCTCTCTTAATTTTTATATCTTCTCATCTTGTTGCGTCTTGTTCAACACCTTTATATCCAAAATTCAAAACCTCTGCTACATCTGCTCACCTCCTCTACGCCACTTGTTCCTGTCATCACATCTTCTCACAGATCTCACTTCATATCTACTTTCTCTCCTCCTTTCTTCTCACCTCTTCTTGTATCTTCTTCACCACTTCTACATCCTAAATCATTAGAAACTAACATTCTACAAACTTAACATCTATACCGGCTCACCAATTGATGGCACATCCAAACTCGAGAGGCAAGATGGCAAACCAGGGGGAAAAATGCCAAATCAAAAAAATCAAAAAACTGGGGAAAAGTTGCAAAAAGGCACAAAAAGCGCCTGATCCCTTCGACGGGTTTGATGGCACATCAAAGCTCGGTAGTTAAGATGGCAAACCAGTGAAATATATGTTCAAAATGAAGAAAATCAAAAAACCCAGCAAAAATTGCAAAAAAGGCAGCAACACGGTCTTTTTCCCACGGCTCTCACCTGCCCCCCCATTATATATACTTCCCCTCTCCTGCGCTTCTCTTCCTCTTTCCTTTGTCTCTTATCCTCTACAATCCCTCTTTCTTCCTGTATATCTGTCCTATTTCTTTTCCTTGCCTTGTTCTTTCCTCTCTTCTGGTTCCTCTTTCATTTGAACCTGCTATATCTTCTTCATTCGTTTTCTCCCCTCCCCCCTGACAGCCTCCCCTCTCATCACCTGGCATGTGCCATCTTAGTGGCTCCAATCATCCCAGCTCTCCCACCTGCCCCACCCCTCTTATTTATTCTTCCCCTCTCCTGCGCGTCTCTTCCTCTTTTTCCTCTTTCCTTTGTCTCTTATCCTCTACGGTCCCTCTTTCTTCCTGTATATCTGTCCTATTTATTTTCCTTGCCTTGTTCTTTCCTCTCGTCTGGTTCCTCTTTCATTTGAACCTGCTATATCTTCTTTCATTTGTTTTCTCCCTTCCCCCCCTGACAGGGCTCCCCTTTTTTTGACCCGCGCACCCTTTTTTTCTGACCCCACCTTTTTTTCTGACCCACAACCCTTCTTTTCTGACCCACAACCCTTCTTTTCTGACCCAACCCTTCTTTTCTGACCCACAACCCTTCTTTTCTGACCCACAGGCCTTCTTTTCTGACCCCCAACCCTTCTTTTTTGACCCACAACCCTTCTTTTTTGACTCCCCAGCATTCCGTGACCAATCCTTTTTTTCTGACCCACGGTCCTTTTTTTTTGACCCCCGCAATCCGTTCTTTCTGACCCGCGGTCTTTTTCTTT